GAAAGTACGTGCTGTAAAGTCAGATTCAGTTTGATGCCTCATTTCTCAGTGTCGTGTCAGTCATGTAAGAGGCCCAGCACGTCCAAAGGGATGAAAGTGCCTGGGTGTGCACGGACCTCTGTAATGACGCCTGGTCGAATCGCTGTGCCAACAGACTGGTAGGAGTTTTTAATCAACGCAAAATGAAGTCGCTGGCAGCTGGAGTTTTGGAAAGTTGACTGGACCGTGATAGGGTTTGGAAGAGTCGAGAGATGTCGGGTTCTCAAGACAGCCATCGACGACAAAGTAACTGAAATCGTGTTGGAGAAAAAAACTGTGAAAATCACGCAATGAAAGTTATTCGTGTAGTAAGCTTTCCTAGGTTTACGGTAACTGCACTTGAAAGTGTCTACGGCATCGTTTGATTGAAATTGTGAGGTTTTAAGGCAAATGTTTGTATTGGGCTGCGTGTTATCAAAATAACCTAGGTACTCCAGAGGCATTAGGAAGCGCTAAAGTATAAAACTATTATTGGCTACGTTAGGTATGGCAGTAGCCTTGATTGGTATGCTGTCAAAAGTAACAAGTCTTGATTGACTGGCGCCACTAGGATTTCGGTCTATGCAGACTGCTAGTAGGAGTGCCCAATCCACGCAAAATGAAGTCGCTGGTAAATGCCTCGGTTCCACCAGAGTGACAGTTATGTCAAGCCAACTGGATTTGTGTTTTAAGCAAATTGTCGAAAATCCAGCTGTGAAAGTTATTCGTGCAGTAGTATTTCCTTGGGTTGGGTCACGCTGATTGCACTTGACATTCATTTAAGCAGAGTTTGATGAACATTTTGAGACTCTGAGACATAATTTGGTATTGCGGGGTATGCCATTAGAATATCCTAGTTAGAGCAGACATAAGGAGGCAATAAAGTGAGCGAGTATTATTGGTTAGAAGTTGGCAAATGTTGATATCGGGCGGCATGTTATCAAAATAACCTAGGTACGTCAGAGGCATTAGGAAGCGCTAAAAGGTAAAACTATTATTGGCTACGGTAGGTTTGGCAATAGCCTTGATTGTTATGCTGTCAAAAGTAACAAGTCTTGATTGACTGGCGTCACTTGGATTTTGGTCTATCTAGACGACAACAGCACAAACCACTTCAACTGCTTGATGTGTAATTGTTTACAATTGTGTTTGCACCTACCTGCTAATCGACCTTTTTCACACCCACGCTATCACCATTGCGTCTTGTTCGATTTTGTTTTGTCTTTAGGTGTATATACACCCATAATTGGCCTACTTGTGTGGAGAGGATACCTGCTTTGTGTTTGGTCACACATTTCATTATTGCGCTGAGGATTTACTTTAGACCGTGTTTATTTGGAGTGCGTTGTGGGATCACACTCGCCAGCACGCTTAGCTGTCACGTTTAAGGTGATCACAAACCAAGTACAGGCTGCATCAGAAAGTTTGGCTGAATGATCGTGCAGGTGCCGTGTTTACTAGATTGTATGCTTTCATGGGATGTTTACTTTGCCACCCCTTGTTTATGCCATATGTGCAAGCATGTTCTTCTTTGTGATTTTGCTTGCTCCCTTTCCCAAGTCTTCACTCTTCGTCCCTTTTCCCCTTTTGTCTCCACAACTGCATTCAAGTATGTTGCTCCTGTTGAGAATAATTTGTAACCGGTACGACTTTTTGTGAATCCGCATTTTCGGCTGCTCGAGCCCTCGCACCGAGGTGTGTGTGTGGGTGTGGGGGAGGGCGGGGGGTGGGTGGGGTTGCACGTGTGGGCAACTGGGCGCACGCGCGCCTATGCGGCGCTTTTTGCCACCGCCTCGAGCCCCGTCGACATACCCGTCGCCGTGGTGTCGGCACACTCCCACTTTTTCCCCTATTGTGTGCACGTGTGTGAAGGGAAAAAGGCCTCTCTTTATTTCTCGTCCCTTACTTTTTACTTCAATATTCTGGTGCCAATGTGGTAAACATTTCGGCCACCAAACTCTCCACATTTACATCTTCCGGTGATTTATTTCAAACAAACCTTTCTTACTTGTACGTGAAACGAGATGTGACTTGGCATTGGCTGTTCTTTTCAAATGCCCATTCTTTAATCGATTCACACCCACACACCTTACTTTCCTAATTTGCTTGATTGTTTCTTTCTAATTATTGAAAACCGCTGAATTAAAATGCCCCAACCTTTACAATAAGCCTGATCAACTGAGAGAATTTTTCTTTCGAACGCAAACACAATAGAACAATGGCCTCATTTACCGTGTTTTAAATGGCCACTTTTTGAGGTGTTTGCCTAGTAGGATTGGATTATAACTTAACCCGTTTGTTGGCTTTGAACTGTTTTTTTTTCTTTTAATGTTATTTTCGCCTACGCCATGTAACAAAAAGTGAATATACTTTTGGATAATCCAATGAAGCGGAGAAGGTAGTAGGCCTAATCTTAGATGCCACGTACGATTCAAATTCATTTTTTTGCTTCAATCACTTCTTTTTCAACCGTTCAAACGATTTTAACCCGCTTTATCAACTAAATCAACGGAGGCTACATAAAAAAGCTCTTACTCTCAAACACCACTCATACATTGCACAATTGTGGGGCCTTTTACTATGACTTATCTCATGAATCTGTCGTTTTTTTAAGTCTAATTACCATTTCAAATTTTTTATTAATCGACTGATTATTTACGTGTTATTTCATTTTTTCTGTGTAGTGGGCATCTTCTGCCAAAAAAGACGCCTCGAGTGGTGTGTGAAACCGTGGCACCAAATTTTACACATGTGCTAGCCTCTCACAAGCCCTCTTGACCACTAAGCAATTTCACCCATTGTTTACACCATTGTGATTATTTGGGGTGTGGACTGTTATTAGCCCGTCGTAGTGACTCGCGGCGATGTTCTAACTTTGCCTCTGGTTATCAGTTTGTGAATTTTATTTGATTGCTCCGTGTTACACGTAGTCTTGTGCTCACTAGTCGTCTGTGCTTGCGTTTCCTCGTGTCTGGTTCATTGCATTGCGTTGCTGTGACATTTTGCCTCGGTCTTAGGCCCCTTTCATACCACCGACTGTTATCTCGCGTGTGTGGGTTACGCATCACACCCGGTGCCTTCTAAACAAGGCGGTCTCGTACTTGATTAATTTAATTTCTCTCGTCTTCAAAATACGCACTGCCGTCCCTCTCAGTGACAGGAAGGGACTTGCAGCGGAAGCAGAGTCACAAGCGACCGTATTTACACAGTTGCGTTTTTCGTTTGAGGTGGTTTCTCAGTTGTGCAGCGCTGTAACCACTTGTGCCTGTAACCGTTTTGTGGTGCCAGAAACCACACCACAAATGACGTCTTAAGAGCATTCTATGGGTGCAATATGCGATCTCACACTGCACGTATTTGTGTGTGCTTTCGTCGTCTTGTACAGAAGCCTTCTGGTGACTTTTTGGAGAAAGGAGTATGCACACTTCCCATCAAGCCGTATTTATCCAATGTTAATGTCTCCGTATTAACGTTACACACACAAATAATACCAGCTATAGACATTGTATATTTATTAGGTACGAAATATGCAAATAGATTAATAAGAATTGTATGCATGAGTCATTCTCGAGCTTGTATAAGCTGCTACTTTTCCTTCCCTTAATATTCTCTTGTTCATTACGCCACCTTAGATAGGAAAAGGCGCTTATTCTGAAGAGAGTGCCAAACTTTCCTTAAAGTGTTGCCTTTCCATTAGAATAACCTCAATGTCCTAAGCTATTCCACTTTTGTTACTCCGCAGATGCTAAGCAAACGTGACAACAAAGCCTACAGCCTGCCCATTACTTCTGCGGGCTTATCAGACACCAGTGGGAGCTCGCCAGCCGCACCAACCCTTGACTACCACCAGAAGGCTCCCAGTGCCGCAGTAGCCGCTGTCGCAAACGTTTTTGCTTGCTACACCGGTGCGGCGTCGTCAGCGCATGGGCCGGATGGGCTCGATGGCCTCCTTCGTCCCCCCGTGACTATAAACAGCAATAGCAACCACCCCAATGACCTCTCGACGGTTGGAGGAGCTCTAGGGGCAGAGGAGGACGAGGAAGAGGACGATTGTCTGGCTGCCCCGCAACCGCCCAACTTGACTAATGACTACTCCACTGTGGACTCCTGCACGGGCGCACTCTCCTTTGGTCGGTTTGGCCAATCACACCACGATGAGCCGCCTAATTATCCATCTGACACGAAGTTATTTGCATTGCTTCCTCCAAGTCAGCAACAGCATCAAACCAGGCTTCCAGACATTGGTGGTCCTCCTGAAGTGTGCCTGTTGAAGTCTGAGGGAGAAGTAATCGGTGAAGAACATGAAGAGGGATGTTGTTCCGACAAGAATCAGGATGCTAAGCAGAGTAGTGGAGGTCGTAGAGATACCGACGGAATAAATGAACATCCAGGGACTCCGCTAATGGTCAGAGTAAGTATTCTGTTTAGCTTAAATCTACTCGCCACTCGTGGATTCATCACGCTTGTGTTGAGGGTCTTAAATCATACACTAAGATCTCCAGACTATGCTGCTGACTATGTATCCACTCCCGCATACCACATGCTAACGTGTAGGAACGCATGTGGTTGGGTAAAGTAGTAATTTCGGTTCTTCAAAAAATGTTTTCCCTTCTTTCTAGACCTAGAGAGTATGCCCTCTTTATGGTGACTGTTTTGACCCCTTGTACTTACTACTAACCGATTTTCAGGAGCTCATGCGTTATAATTGTTAAAATCAATGAACTTATAAATATTAGTTTATAATTTGCGTTTACCACGCCTCACGCTTACAGCATCGACGTCGTCCATCCTAAGTGTGGTATCATTTGGCTCGAGTTCCGCCTTCGACCGACTTCGGGGTTCATTTTGGTTGGGTTTCGCGGTCTGGTAGTCACGGGTTTTTATTTGTCCCTCAGTCGTTGCGGACCACTGATCCGACTCCGTTCGCTTCATACCTAAAGGCCAAATTCTCCGTAACGTCAATTTTCAACCATTTATGATAACGCACATATGGCACTGGGTAGACGTGATGCAATCCCCAAAGAATAATGACTTCTGCAAGTTCCATCATGTTAAGCGTTTATTACAGGGAAAAGAAACGTGTTGACCACTTCTTATGAAGGTGCAATAGACTGCATTTGCGCTCCACCTTTGATGACGAGGTCTCTGTGACCCCAGGTAAATTTACTGTTGAAATGGTGTCGAACGACAACAGTGGCAGGAAGCCCAGTTCCGGGTCCTCAACGTTCCACGTTTTGCATATTCGAACTCAGGAGACGCTCTCTTGTGTACCAGTCTCTTTCAACTCTCGTCAAATGCCTTGACATGCGGCTCTTGAAATTCTCACCAAATTGTTTATTCTAACAAACGCGTGATCGACGCATTTGACAGCGAAAACGCCCTCGTAAAAAAATTTCGCTTGTCCCGCCATATTACTGGTTACGTAGTAATGCTGCCCTTTTTAATAAATGTAGTGTGTGGGCGGTCAGTGGTTGACTTGTGGCGATTCCATGCTCCTCACTGAAAGTGGCATTCCATCCACAATGTAGAATGAGGTGCATCAAAACGTTGATAGGTAGGGCTCAGTTGCCACTAGTCTTCCGAGTCTGATTACCATTAGCTGTCCCCAATTTTCGTGTCGATTGACGAAGCCCGCGCAAAGCAACTCTGCATTGCGTGCACCACGCCACAGCTTTTGGTTAAATTTTGCCAATTGCCATGGCTCAGCTGTTTAGTTATAAATAAACATGGAAGTACGGGATTACCTTAAAATAACCTACCGGGGAAATCAACTCACAAAATGTGAATCTAGCAAAATAAATCAGATGGTCCGAAGATTTTGCCAGGATTGATAACAGAGGGCCAAAGTTGTGATAATTGGAGGTGTCAAGATTATTTTTAATACAATTATTAGAAAATAATAATTGTATTTTCCACCAGCGCACACGTGCCTGATTTTCTCGTAATCTCGTTGGTTTGGTCCATGTTTTCCTTAAATTTGACGCAGAACTGTTTATTTGAACTCAAATTTCACTACCTTTGTTGACAAGCGCTAGTCTTAAAATGAAAAATGCCCCATTTCGTGTATTGAGAGAAGTGACCAGGCCTTTTGATAACTTGCTGCAACTTCCGTAGATAGGGTGCTTTCAGGCTTCCGTCCGGGTAAAAGGCATTTTCACTTTTTTTTTCTGACAAAGCGCCTCAGTAAAATTTTACTCTTGAAGGACGCAGAATGCGTATTGAACGAAAATGACGTATAATTAGTCTGGCCCCTTAAAAGGCAACTTGAATGCGGCAACTAGGGGCCTAATTGTATGTGCTTCATCCAATTTTCTTTCGCGACGAGCTGTGGTTCACATTTCTTCCAAGTTTAATTACTATGATGTAATTAGAGCATAACTTTACCATAATTTGACTGCGTAGTGTGGTCCTGTTAGATGCCTCTAAATTTATTGGCACATTCCGGAGCCACAGTTTGCTTGCTGTACTTTTTCTCGTGCCGAATCCTTATTCAATCTTGCTGTCTACTGTTTTTTTCACAAATGTTGGCAAATATTCTACCACAGCTCATCCTATCGGTTAAATGTGTGAATATTGGTACACAGCGACAGATGTTGTCTGTTTAGTTTTTTTTTTCGTATCTATGCATCACTAGTCTATGGTTTTCACAATTATCCGAGGTTTCAGTGTCTTCGCTGTCTGTGTGTTGCCAGTGGGAGATGAAGCAATCTACTGGACATTTGGTTGACTTAATTGTCCTGCTCCGTGGGCCAAGAGCAACGGCGACACGGGGCAAAGTTGGTATATCGACGACGCCTCTGAAATGGATGATTTCAATAAGGCATGCGACGCAAAACATGAAAGACTTTGGTAAATTTGCCTGCCAGAAATTGGGGTTTTACTGTGGTATCAGTGCTTGCACTTTAGAATCAACTGCTGTGGTGATTAAATGCACCCAGAGCACAGTAAATTTAGAGGTTCTCAGGCTCATATGCGAATTACCTGGGGTCTCTAGTGGCTCTAGTGTACCCAGCTTGACACGGTCCACTCCCGTCTAATGTGACGCCTTATTTGTGGTACGCTGAGAAGTGAAATGAATTTTGAATAAAAATATTGTATGCGTCTATCGATACACCACTTGGTATTGATATATTTCTGGCACCTTCTATATTCCTGCTTTCAAATTTGTTTCGCGCAATGGAATCGCATTTTTACCCAAAAATGAGGTGAGCCGATTTTAATTTTATTAATCCCTATTAGTTCTTTTTACTTCTACTGTTGCATCATTTAGGGACATTCCGTTGAGTTGATGTTGAAGCCAAGACACTGGTCGTTACTATATTGTAAACTACGAAGGTAATCAGGATTTGCGATTTCAAATTCTGTTGGTGATAAGACTAAGCTGAACTTGTTTTTACTGATCAAAAAAATTGGGGGTTCGATCAGCTACAAAGCTTGTGATATTCTTTTCGAAAGTTGGCACCACTATCTCCTGTGTTCACCTTAGAAGACGCGCTTACTACACCCTGTACGCTAGAATAAATGCCCCATGAACTGGGTTGTGTGTGTGTGTGCCAAACTTATGTGCGTAAAGACCGAGATGGAAGCCGTTATCTGACAAATTCATTCCATTTCATGCAATTCTCGCATTCTTTAAACCCGCGTTGTTGTATTTGAAGCGTAGTTTTTCGTAGAAGTACCACTGCAAATGTGTTAACACTCATAAAAACGTAACGTGTTGGTTTATGATGCGACTCCTGTTCAATTCTAATTGAATTTGCGTGGAGAGCTGACTGTCGCACAGTGGTTAGTCTTTTCGTGGAGAAGGTAACCACTAGCAACTCAAACCTGCTAACTTGTGAGTCTCAGCAGCGCACCTCACTCAGATGCTTAAGCGGTCTTCACAACCTCCGCAGTTGCCACATATGGTGCAACCCGGCCCGCGGACTGTCACTTTGTCTCTCCGAAAAATTTTATATGTCTCTCCAACTGCTTAAACACAAAGCTGACTGAATTGTGACGCTCGTAACTCCAAACGACGCCGATTTCATGTCTGGCCGGTACCTCTTACCTACGAGGCGATTTGGTTTTAGCACCCAATGAGTGCTTGTTTTGCACCGTTTAATGCATGATTCAGTCTCTCAGTAGCAGCATTCCCATTAATATGGTTCCATTAACATCGAAGTCTGACTAGGATAGACTGGCTTGGCTTTTTTGGCACAACAATGATGGTACACCCCTAAACGAAATCTGAACCAATATTGCTCGTTTCACTTTCACGACGAAATGCCATGGCTAAAAACGTTGAGGTAAAAGTTGAACCTTTTTATATCTATAACAACTAACTAGGCTTGTAGAAAACCCCATCGAAACCTAAGTCCCCTTACCCCTCACTTTGGAAGCACTTTTTAGGGAATCTGCGTTTGCTGATCGTTCTCTGCGTCCCGATGCAATGCATACAGATAATTTGCAAACGTTGGTTACCTTAAGGTTCGTTTCTCCATGTAACTCCAGATGTTTGGTGGTGTTGAAACTGGAGCCTTATGAGGGCCATTCAGTCATCTTCACGACCCCCGTTTTTTCTACCATAAGCTCCTAATAACCTCGGCTTTTGGGATGTTTGCTTTTTTTAAATTCACCTACTGCTTCACAAGTCCTTTTTCCAATGTAGCCGCATTATTGACATTTCTTATACTTTAGAACATCAATTCCTTCGATTTGATTCAAAAAATTCTAGGTGTAAACCAGAAAATGGCCACAAAAATTGTTCCTGTTTTTACTTGAATGAACTGAGAATGATCAAGCATATCCTGATGTTGGAAATGAGTATGACTTGCTCCCGGTGCTGTGTACCGAGTTTCGGTACCTCCTTTTATCCTCTCCCTAGCACTTGTTTTTTTGTAAAAATGTTGCAGGGCACCAATCAACTTCAAACATGGTCACACAATTTCACCAGTCTCGCACAACAGGCATAAGACGTTTGTATTTATGGTCTACTCATATAAACGGTGCGGTGTACGTCCTCTTTTCACGAAAAGCTATTCAATCATTCTTCATTAAAATTAACCACTGGTTATAAAGACATCTATAATGTTTTTGGCAACTCAACTCTCCATTTACACAAATATATAACTGTCGCTAATGTTTTATTATGTTGGTGCAACTTAAATACTTTGTACATTATTTCTAATTATTTTTTTTTAAATTACGGTTTAATTTTAAATCCGCAAACATGAACGGAGTAGTACGTTAGTGGATGCGCCTCTGAGTCAAGGCCGGTAGTACAGCTCAGTTAAGGCGGGCACTGTGGCTGTGATCAGTACAGCTTAACCAACGGGCTGTTGTTAACGTGGTTGGCCTCGTGTCCTAGCAGAGGGACTGAGGCGTCGGCTCTGCACCAAAACTCTCAGCGTGGCTCTCACTTCTAAGACTAGACGGTGACGCCTTAGCAGCACTTTTATTCTCAAATCGACTGGCTTTGTCGTGGTGTCTGTGTACCAATTTAAAAAAAGCCAATTCCTAGTCACTTTTATGCCGTTCGCTAAAGTGATACAGCAATCTACCGGCGAAAGGCAGTCTAGGTCACTTGAGAATTTTGTGCACTCCAGTCAAGACAAGTTGTTTGACCTTAATGCCTCGTGCTCCTACTTTGTACCCAGAAATACAATACCATTTTCAGATCACTTTGGTTTGGTAGGCAAACAGTCTGAAACGGTAAATCCAAGTCACAGTGGTGTAATTTGTTAACATTTAACACGCTAAGGTACAGTCTGGCTATCACGTTGTGTTCCTCTTTCATTAAGCATTGCAGATCAAGTGTTATGAAATACTGCCTTAAATTGAAATTAGCCTTGCTTTTCTTGTGTTAACACAACGAATAAATCTTGTTCAGTCAAATCTTTCCCAGTTTGGTGGGCAAACTTTTAGCATTTTTCAGATAGCTTCCTGATTCTACACACGTAGAACTGCTGACCCTTTTCACAAAAAAAACTGACCTGAATTTTTTTCCAGGTCATCAGTTTTGAAGGCTTTACCATTCAACCGTGGAAGTAAATGGTATTCTGTTATTGTTATGCCAGGATTGTATGGGACAATATACAATGTATACTTTTCCACAAGGTCCTAGTTATAATGTTTTGAGGCCTTGCAATGTCTTGATTCAAAACAATTCCTCTGCTATTCGCCAAATCTGGTTGTTTTCTTCCTATCGCTTCTTACTCACCTTCATGTGTTGTTAAACGTAGACATGTGAAGCAAAAGTTTGGCTCCTCGGGAGCAACTCATAATTCAAAATTCCACATTATTGTAGTTCCACCAAATTTAATACTGATTCATCAATCCTCCACAACGATCACCATCTCTTGGTGTTATTGTAGACGATGCATTTTAATCATGAATAGTTTGTTTATAAAAAATGGCCAGTTTTTATTGCGCTTGGAATACATATCGCTAAAAATGATTCCTCGTGTTGACTTCTCTTAATTCATGTGATTGTTCCGTGTGACAAATTTAACCGCTCTGCAGTCTCTCGATTCAATTCAACTGCGACTTTAGTATGAGCAGTGGGTTTACTAGACCGTTGGTCAGTATTAGGTGGAAAATCCACGATTTTGACGTGTGTTTTCTTTAAACCATAAAATTAACATATTTCTTTGTGAGTGTCAGCAGGTGAACTGTTCCTCGGTTAAGTAGACCACTTAAACTATGGGATACCAGAGTAGTTTCCTCTCCTTTTTGCTTTCAACAATAAAACTTAAACGGTTTAGCCGTCCACAGGTGCAGGTGGGTCATTTATAGTTACGACTTGCAAAAGCACCGATGCTTAGTCACCTCTTCATTTTCTGAGAGTGGTCGCATCGCTTTCCACGTACTCGCGACACCCACCCTAGCCCTGGAAAAAGTATAACCACCACTTCACCTGTAGGCCCTCTTGTGCTACTTTGTGGGGAAAAGTACTTTTCGATCTCAACACACTCTCGATTTCTTTCCCCTCCACTATAACTCGGATTAACCCATAACTTTCGTGCACTTGTGTGCGTTTGCACCCTGAATGTGTACATTCCTCTTGGAGAAGGAGTGTTCGCCAAAATCACAGTGCATTCCCCTTTGGGCTGATGTACTTCCAGTAGACGGAAGCTGCCACGGTTGACTACACAATTTGTTAAATGTCTGGAGTAATGTGTTTCTCTGGGTTACCCGTCTTGAGAGTAGCAACTCGATTTGGTCTGTTACGTCGTTACTCGTACATACTTTCACCGTATCTACTTTGTTTTTTTACTAATCTATGGTAAGCTTTCAGGATTTCTTGTTGAACACTCAACGCTCACGTAAGGTCATTGTCGAAGTAAACGAGTTCAATCCGTAGTCAGTTCGTACAAGGTAATTTGTGAACAATTCCATGATATGCCAAAGTTCTAAGGGGGTAATTTACGCATATGATGAGCGAATTTACGTTGTCACTTTGCATAAATGAAGAAATTTATGATACATTTTGTTGATTTTATCGTTGTGACCGTTTACCTCTCAAGAAAAACATCACTACGTTTTGACCAGTCGCAATTTTGCGTATAATTTAAAAATGTGAAGGTTTAGTCGATGAACTTTAATAACACCTACAATACTTATCTTCTTACGAAAACTGCGACTTATTTTTATCTTCACAGCCTGCGTCAGCGTTGGCTAGCACCGATGGTCACTTCACGGGTTCCGACTTTGATCCTCGCTCCCATCTTTGCTGTCGTTCATCTCTCCTGAAGGTACCCACGGCAAAAAATCACTCTCACGTGATCCACTCAACTCCCTTTGCTCCTCAAGAGTCGTCCCGCTGCGCCTCTGCCGCTGGGGGTTACGTAAACAGTCCCTTCAACAACCCCCATCCAAGACACGCCTCGGGTTCGGCTGCTTACCTCCGGGGTCACCTCATGGTCGTGCCGCCTGATGGCGGCGGCAGCGGTGGTGGTGGTGGTTCTTATCTCTCGGATTCCGATCTCCAAAACAGCTCCCAGCATATTGGCTCGGTTTCCTCTTCCCCGGGGATTCGGACCGAGTCGATCAGTCCTACGACCTCCACTCACGACGCGTTGCTCGCGCACTCAAGGCCACCGCACCACCTAGCTCCCCACCCCCATGCACCGTCACACCCACCTCCACCCGATCTCCTATTCTGTCCCACAAGCTCGGCTGGGGCAGATTTCTTCTCTCCTGTGAGATCGGATCCTGAGGGTCCTCTCCAACTGCGCAAATCATCGACGGTCAACTATTCGGTGGGTGTAGATGGGACACCAACTGTTTGGGATGGCGGAAGACTGCCAGATCAACGATCAGGAGGCGGAGGCAGTGTCCTGACGCCAGTTATAGATGAGTATCCGCAACACCAGCAGCATGTCCCCTCTTCACCAATGTCATTCTCGATGAGGGACAGTGCAGCTGGGAGTGGCGCGAACAATGGTGGCGAAAGCTGCGGGGAATCTGGTTCAACGCCGACATGTGCAGGAGGTATCGTAGATTCCTTTCAATCGTGTTCGGGTACGACATCCGGCCCTCTCTTTTGCGTTTTCAACTTTTCCTAGTTACTTGATCATTTCAACATCCACTATATGCTCCGTCGTCCAACTTGAGTGGTCGCGGTTTTCGCAGTCTTTTTTTATTCATAAAAATAGAGCATGGGTCGAAATGTAAGAACTCGCACCCAACTTAATCACTGAAGCGTCTTCAACGATCTCCACCCCAGGTGTAACCAATGAAATTGTCCATGCTAAACTTTCAGAAGTACACGAAATTCGGCCTACCTTTTAATGACTTTTTTTTATTTTCCTAAAAAAAGTTAAGAAAAAGTAAAGTCATTTAACCTTTACAGGATGCTGTGTATTTACTCGGTTTTGTATGCGTCTTGTGTCAAGGGCTCTTGTAATCTGGCCTAAGTATTACCTTTGGACTACCCTATTCGACTTATTGTGACGTTTTTTTTATAAATTACGTATGACTGGGTTGTCTTCGTGTTCTGTTGCTGCTTTCTTTTACCTAGAAGCTGTCGAGCTATGTGCAGTTATCGAAATGTTAGCCTTAGAAACAGTAGGAGGGTACCGTTATTGATGCACGGGTGTCGCTATTGTGACCGTCGCTTGCACGCGCGACGACGCTCAGAGCAAATAGATGTTGCATCTAGAAACGGTGACCGGTTCTTTTTCTCTGCATGTCTTGGCTTAGCTTCTTATTATCGCATGTTTTCCTATTTACTCCTGCATGAGTGTACAGCGTAAAGTCGCAGAAAGTCTACTCCAGTCCATTTATTCGGCGATAATAAAGCAAGACGCGACATTCGGATCATTTCACAGAATCTAATAATTAACTGTTTAAAATCACGAGTTCCGTTAAGTAGTTTTCCATTCATTTTTCTCCCTCATTTTCATCTCACTGTCTTCTCCTTCTGCACGTCATGTATTTTATCTGGCTTTATAAGAAATCTTGATACTTTCTTGGTGGCACCACCACTAAATTGCATTCACCCTAATCACTTGTTGACTTGGATATTTTGCGCTGTCAAAGCAAAACGACTTAGCGGTAATTTGTTTTCCAGTTGATCATTGCGTCACCAAATGACTTGTTTTTTGAAGCCTAAAATAAAGTTGCCTTGCACACATGGAGGCGCGTTGTGCCTAAATTTGCACTTCTTACGGTGCCAATGTCATTGGTTCTCTGAGACAAGTTACTATTACCACAAGTTGAGTCGTGACAAGAGCTGTGACGACTGTTTGGCTCTTTTGAAATCACGCAAAAACATTTTAGCCGCTTTAAACTAAAATGGCGAGAAAATTAGGCTATTGTTCTTTCGGTTTACAAGTTCTGCGTGGCGTGATTCTGTCCCTCGGTACCCCCTTTGATATATAACTTGTCTTAATGAGCTTAAGTAATCCCAATTAGTGGTCGAAGAGGTTCGTTCCAAGGTTGAATAAAACCATTGAAATTCAAGGGTGTTTTTTTAGTACTACAAATACTGTGTGTAGTTGCCAAGCCAGTTGTTGGGGCTTTAAGGTGCACGCCTCATCTCAGCAACGTCACAGGTTTGTCTCTGTGCGCTGAAGCTCCTTTTGTGGTCGACACCGCTGCTTTTCGACGCCTAGTTGCACAGTTAGCAATTGTTGTGTCGCTTCTTTTCGCGTAATATTTTGCTCGATTTATCTTCCTGTTGTTGTGTTAACTGCAAACTAAGCGTCTTCGGCTTAACGAAGTGAATACAACATAATTCCTGGTTGAGATGCTCCCTCAAGCCTCCCCCTTCCCCCGCCAGATGGAGGAAGCGCAACTAAATTTGGACAAATGGAACGACATACTCTATTTTGCCATTCTGAAAGCGCATTCCCACCAACAGAGGTGCTGTGAGCGTTTTTAGGCTGTGGGCCGCAGCATGTGGTCACGAACCATCTAATTACACTCTCCTGATACCCGCGATGACAAAGAAGGCCGGAAAGGCTGTGGACACAACCTTTTGCTTCAGAGCTCCACCACGTTAGTGTCGTTGTGTCGACTCCGTGACATGTTTTTTGTGGAGTTTGCGCGTGAATATGTATAGCCCAAAAGTCTGAAACAGCGTGAGTCATAAATGCTCTAACATCGAGACCTGGGTGAAAGTTATCATGTGTGGCGATAATCCCGGATGCGCGTTCGCGATAATGAGGTGTGAGCAGAGGTTCCGCTCGGCTGACGGCATGTTGTAAAAACGAGGTCAGCTGTAATGACCGACCTCAGCATACGCTTCAATATGTGCTAGCTAATACGCCATTCGGCGATAGCTAATCTTCAATCCCAGAAATTCCTCATAATCTTCTGTGGTGTGGGTGATCTTAAAGTCGATTGGTTCTTCCAAAAGAAATCTACTTTAACTTTGCAGTTTACCTCCTCGCCACATCGCGGTGTAACTTTCGCCAATTTTCTAGTGGCTTCGCCTTGTTCTGTTAACTTTATGCCAGCTTCGGTGCTGTAATAGGTCTAGAATTGGGCATTGGGCCCTGAAGTTTGTCTTGGTTCAATTTGGTTTGTTGGCGTTCCGCCTTCACTCGGTCTCTCAGTACATTCACAGTTGGTATTTGATATGTCCTTGGTACTAACTAATGCTTCAACAATGGTTCTGCTCATGCGCACGATTTTCCTGCGTGTATCTGAAACCAACCTTCACGTGGCGACAATTACTTCACCAAGCGTGCTGAATCACTTGTAAGAGACTTCTCGAGCATTTAGGGCTGTTTATTTTTTACTTTTAGGTGTTCCACGACGGTGCGCTCCTCAAATGCCTGTCGGCAGCTTCCCTTCACAAAGTGACTTCCCCCTAACCGAAAACTTCAGCCACTTTGTTCCTTTTGACACGGTGAATTCAATTACTGGCAGCCTCTCCTCCTCTCCCCCTTCACTGCCTGTTCCTTTAAAGCGCTGTCGACGACACTGACACTCACCTTTCCAAACGAACATCGACAGATGAAAGCCCCCCACCCCATAGATGTCGTCATCACAGTGCCACCAAATCAGTCTCGAACACACACGAACACGCAACCAGCTAGACTATTTTTGAACTGTTCATTCTCCAAAGCACTGAATGCATCACACATTTCATAAACCTCGTCTACTCGACATTTTATCTATGACTACTTATTTTTGCACCCCAGTGCACAAAGAGAAGAAAATGGAAAATCCCTTGCTTGGACAGGTGCGCTAATTAAAACGAGAGAGAGAGAGAGAGAGAGAGCCAAGCACAGGGATCTCCTGGCCTGAGAAAAGACATATTTTTGTACACCCCTCTCTGCCACCTAGGATGAACTTTGAGCAGCGCTACGTGTTTGTAAACATGTTTATTCGAGCCTGTGTTTTTTCAGTCACTGTCTACGCGCGCGCTTGCCCAAAATCGATGGCGCGCGTGCGCACGCATGCACGCTCGCGTTCGGGCATTGCGACAGCTGGCGCGGAGGCTTGTGCGCGTGCTGAACCGTTGGTATTGATCGACGCTCGTGTGCGCGCGCACACCGTCTTGACGCGTGCGTAGAGGTAGGGTACTTGGGCGTGCACACGCGCCTGCGCTTGTTGCCGTCCCCCCTCCCCACATTTCCCATTCATTGAAGCAGCCCATCGCGTTTCTTTATCTCAGGACAACGCAAACGCCATCCCTCTCCTCTAATGCCTGCCTCTCTCTTGCTTCTTCTCTGTGTGCCTCTACTCCTCTCTCTCTCTCTCCATTTCGACCGTATGACGACGATGATATTTTATTTCATCTCATTTATACCAGTGCCCTGTAAAAATTGTGCAATATCTCCCCACTCCCTTTAACATTGTCCGTCCGACTTGCCAACCATCGCGCTTTATCGCCACACCAACCCACACACCTTTTTTCAAAGAACCAATGTGTGTGTGTGTTCACATCCTCTGTCAACCGTAACAATGACTGCCCTAGTGATCACGCCAATTTTAATAATTTATGATTTCATCTCTTGTCCTGCTCTTCTCCCTTCTTTCATTTTGTCCACTATTTTTTGTGAGGGACAGAATTATTACATATATATCTTATAAAAAAGACAATTACTGAGAAAACGACTTATTTTGTCTCTTTCATAATATTTGCTCACACCATCCGCCACAACACACTATGTCTTGGGGTCTATCACTTGTTCTGCCTTTTAAGGTCTCTCTGCCCCCGCCCACTCCGCTAGAACAAAAGAACACCTCTGCAGGACTTGCTATCGAGATTTGTTTTAAGCAGAGTTGGGTTAGGGGGCCTTCTCAATAAACACGAGGTTTCATTTGCAATTTTCCAGTTGCCCAGCGTCCTCTGTCAAAACTTACTACCACAATCGACTCATCTTCCAACCACTAATCAACCGCAGTGTCTTTATTTGTCATAAACTAAACTGGCACAACTAGGTAACCTGCGTAAAAGTGTAAATCTGGGTTATATCACCACCAAACCGCTGATCCCAGAATTAGCAATTAGCTGGCAACTCTTTATACGTGATGTGTTAGCTATGCAGATTAGTCCCCAGCTGTGAAGTAGTTTATCTGCAGTAAGTGCTTTACCGTTACTCATGAAAATTGCCCAGGTACTATTTTTCGACTGGAAAAGTTGCGAAGATTAGATCTTTATTAAATTCCTGTGCGATCGTACAAGTTGAAGTCAGACAATGCAGACATGTGTAGCAAGTGCGCACAAAAGGCAACTAGTCAGACGGGGAAGGGGCGCTGTACCACCGATGTGAGGTGGGGTTGGTCCTCCCAGCCCTGTTGTTTGGGCCCGCACACTCGACGTGGGCTTATTGATTTGCGCCCACGTCGCGTCACAAGTCGGCCTCTTGAGTTGGCAGATTGGTATGTCCTTTTATTCTCTCCGTTATTAACTACCAGCAGGCTCCTGTCGCAGGTTCATTCGCTCAATAAATTGGTGACGCAGAAATTTCGGAGACCTAAGTTGGCAACTTTCACGTGGCAAGTCCATTGGCTGCTTCGTGTTCAGCTTTGTATTGTGGCTAACATTGGGCCCCTCACAGGTTTTCGAGACTTTTAGTTGTTTTCTGTTTAAGTACGAAGCACTGACGACTCTGCCTATCAAAAACGTGGACTCATTATGTCAAGTCAGAACAAACAGAAACTCGAACGCAGAACCATTGCTGCATTACTGTAAAAATGCACGAAAATGACTTGTTTTGTGTTCGCTAAAGCACCGAGATGTGGTCGTGGGCCTAACGATTTTTTCGAAAACTTCGTCAGGACCGCTATAACTGCAAATAGTGTCAATTACGACGTGATTTAGCGTTTTACGTGTGGAAACTCTTCTGTTTATTAAAAGAGTAACCCCAACCTTACATCAACACAAGTACCTCCTCACTATTCATCCAAAGGCATCTGAACTGTTGGAATAGGCTGCTTTTTGGTGATGAGCACACAGCATCTTCACGCTGCTGGCAAAAAATTATGCTCTCTGCTAGACTCGTCACAAGTAAGCAGTTCATTTTCTTACTTGTAAGGAAGCATTATTGTATGTTCAGGGCATTTTTCCCATCGCTGTTTGCCAGGCGGCTTTTTCAAAGTGAACATCTAAAATTGTATCAAGCTTGTACAGCCTTGAAAGCATTTACGCATCAGCAACCCAACCATATCGACTGCTTATAGGGTGGCTAGCCAATAGGAAACGTGGAACTTTTCTGCCTTTGTTTTATGTCTGCTTCCAGTTCCTCTGGTCTACTGTTCTAAATCCTAAATATCCCTGAAAGTTTCTAGAATCTTCAACTGAACCGGGGATGGAGAGTATCAGAAAAGGTGCTTAGCGTCAATTTGACTCGTTCCCTGCAACTTTAGAGAGCGCTTAGTAAACTAGAAAGACCACTCACGTCTGGTAAAATTCCTTCATTACGCCCACGCCCAACATTTGCAGGATTAAATGGATGGTTTACCACATGTTGTAACAACTATTTTGCCTAATCGAGCTGAAAGCTAGATTGGTCTGCACTGCATACGGTCACAGGCGCTCCGAAATGCTACGGTAAGAGGACTCCATCAATCAGGCGCGCATTTCCCCTTGCTTGAAGCCGCATGGTGTAGTACCATAGTACGGACAGAAAAAATGTGTTTCAAGATTTTACGCTAATCCGAATAACCTAGATAAGCGTTGCCACACAAAATTCGGAGCAAAGTTCAATTGCGAATTGCCAGCATTGCAGTTTATCTTTTTAAAAGATGTTTTTTGGCAATTATAGGCAACCATTAATCCAAATTACTCTCTTCATTACTAATGCTATTATAGAAATGTAGTTTTAGGGATAAAGAGGGAAACGGTGAATATTCTGTATCAGAATGTCTGAAACCAACCACTCTACGTAATTGTGGTCACTCAAGAATATGGAAAGGAGATCTAAGCGGTATTTTCTACGTTGAAATTGCGCAAACGCGCACCTGGTAAGAGGTGGAATTCGATTGGGTAAATGGGAACCTAGTCATTTGGACCGGTTTTGTACATTCTCTCATACTTTGCTTCCTTGTGAGTATATTCAGTAATTGTCATGGCTTCTGAATCGAATATTGTGCAAAAGCTAACTCCGATTTCAGCATTACCTTCAGCACAAAATCGGTTTCTGTGCGTAGGAAGACGGTGGACTTATACTGGTGGTGCAACAGTAGGTAATTTACAAAGGTCAACAATAAGTTCAGAAAATAAAATGCTTTTACATGACATAAGTTCTGTGTTCAGTTTAATCCCTGTCAATCAAGGTGTATTACTAAACGCAGTAGTTAAACGAGGAGGTTTGCACATCAACTGCCTTTTAAACTGCATACAGACACAATGGAGAATCTTCCTGCATTTTAGAATCACCTTAATAAACCAGCGTAAGAACGAAAAGTTCTTTCCAAATGCAATCTAATTTCAAGAAATTGCCTGAGTGTCCTCCTAAACTTTACAGTTTTAAGTCGAGACGTCCTCCACATAAATGCCATGTATTGGAGATATCAGGCAAATACACGCACAGGTGGTTCATGACAGGTGATTCTAAAGCTCCCCATTGTTACCCCAGGTGATTGTACGTAGCATTGGCAGAAGTTCGACCTCAATTTTATAATTTCTCGAAATTTTGAAGTTTGTCTAGAATTCGACACAAGTAAAAAACTAATCTTTCGCATGTTTCCCTCTTCATGATTAGATATGCCGTTTACCGAAACGAAAAACTTTTGTGTATTGAGTTACCTTCAAACTCAGTCGTAAGTGAATGTGCACAGCGCACTTGTGTCAAGATTTCATAAATAAATGCCAACGGAGAAGCAAATTTTGGTGAGGCATATGGCGTTTCAGGTGGGGGACTGTATGTGTTGAAAGAAAATAATGTAGATGTTTAGCAGTTTTAAAAGATGTGAAAAATCAACGTCAGAAAGCCTTATGTGTTAAGGAAATCTATTCGAAAAGCAATCGTGGAAAGTCGGATCTCCATATCAACGCTCTGGCATATCAGGCTTAAAGTCAGATGATGAGCGAAACTGTAAAATGTCTTGTACAAATGACGACTTCGGGAAAACCACCATGGTTTCAGTGATGGGGCTTCAGTTTGTACGAATGTCAAACTGAACTAGCTGAACTTTAACACTTGAGGCGAAGATAATCTACATGCTACAAGTGAACGCGAGAGCAACCCATTAAAAGTGAACGGGTTCCGCACCGTCCCCATCAAGCATCACATTCATTAAAAAATGTTTCGTTAGTATTCTTTTTTTTTCATTTCAGTCAAAGTCATCGGTCAGATTTGTAAACTTTGTAAAAAACAGGAAGGCTAATGTGCATCCTGATTCAACTTCAGTCACACGTAGTGTTTCCGGAGACGCACTATTACGTCGACGGCAGCAAAGACACCTATTTCTATTTATGTTAAAGTGTGATGCGAAAACTCCATTCTGACAATTCCGTCTTTCAAATTCCCACGAAACCGTGTACTTGAAGCCTCCGTTTTGTCACTTGGAGTGCAATTGGGGTGAAACTTTGGCGGAGAGGCACTTTGAGTACAGCTTACCGTTGGTTTAGTAGATAAGTCATGGTTAAGGACTCATCGAAACCAAGTTGTTTAAGTAAACTGATGGTACATTTTGTACGATACTGAATTATATATGAGTTACATATTACTGAAACTTTAACAGACCACAGAAATGGCCCAGGAACATTTATTTTCTTTCATAGAGGTGTCACGCCTTTTCAAAGATGAACTAATCCATAAGGGTACAATGACGAAGTCTCGTGTCTTTGTTTGGAACTTGTAGATGCGTGGCCTTGTTTGGGATTAGTTGGTTTTGATGGAGCTGAGAATATAAAAAATCGGACTAGGCACTACGGTGTGTTAGGTTACGACTTTGAAAGCACGATCTGTGATTGGCAAGCCACCAACCACTGACATAAATTCGCCTTATCATCAATTCACGAAAAAATTTGCAAAAGAGAATAGAAAATTCACAAAACCCAACAAGCTGCTTCTGAGAATATACTTCATGCTACTTTAGGACCGCAAAACTTCCCTAAAAACCATTTTTTTATTGGAGAACAATGGGAATGTATTAAAGCGTGGAGGGTCGTTGTTTAGTCCGGCTGAAACAAG